CCCCAAAACCCCAAAACCCCAAAACCCCGTGCTTTTAAATTAATCTAGGAATTTTGAAATTACTGCAAAATATAATTTAATTAGTCAAATTACTTTTGAAATGGAAAATCTCGGAAGCTCCTCATCTTTAAATTCTATTAACTATCAGTATAATTATCTTTAACAGTATAATACAATTTCCAACTTAATTTAAAAGGGAATCAACTAGCTAGCTTGCAGGATAATAGGATGATTAAAAAGAGGAAGGTAATTCATATAATAAAGATAATTATAACTATAAATATAGTTGACATCTCAAATTTCAAATACAAAGTAGATAATTCCTCAATTGTTGCTAAAAATTTAAAATCAATATTGTTCTCGGAGGAGTTTGCTGATGTAGTTATAGTGTCAGGCACAGCACCTAATACTGAAAAAATATATGCTCATAGATAAATTCTTGCTGCAAGTTCAGATGTCTTTTCAAAAATGCTGTATGGTCCATTTGTTGAAGGCAATAGAAGAGAAATCACTATTCCGAATATCTAACCAAAGATCTTTAAATGCCTAATGACTTTTATCTATACTGGATTCGTTTAGATTGATACAGACATTCTTGTGCCTTTGATTTAAGCAGCTGATTAGTATTCAGTTAGAGGAGCAAAAGAAGAGTTTGGCAGAGCTGCTTAATCTTTTATGCAGAAGGCTACTCATACTGATCCTAGATGCATCACTCAAGTGCTGAAATTATTTTATGATTCTTATGTGGTGGATATCCCTGAAATACTTAAAATGTGTTTAGAGTTTATTGATTAGCATACTGTAGAAGTACTTGAATCTGAGGCAATAATAGGCTTGCACAAGGAACTAATGGGCTTGATCTTAAAAAGAGATAGTCTTTACGATGGCTTAGAAGAGATTTAACTTTACCTAGCTTGTCTTAGATGGGGTAATTTTTCAATATAATTTTTGATAGCAAGAGGATTCGGGAAATTAGATTACAGCGATGAGAAATAGTTTGATATTTCTGGAATCAATTCATAGTAAAGAGAGGATTTGATAGAAATTCTGAAGAACGTAAGATTACCACTAATTCCTGCAGAAATAATCATTTAAAAAATTGAACCATCAAGTATGTTTTTTAAATTTTATATTAATGCTTTTTAGATCTAATTGACATACATGAGGTTTATGTTGCAATGGCATTTTAAGCAGCACCAGATTGCTTCAAAAATGATAAGAGTGATAAATTTAGACACAGATATGGATCTGAAGTTCCATGGAGTTGGTCTAAGGAACATCACGGACCTCACATACTCTTATCTAATAACTTTAAAACTGCTCATGGATGTCATTATGATTGGGAGAAAATAGTTGGGAACGTCGTGTGGAGATCAGGAATCCATAAGTTTGAGATATAAATAGAACTAAATATGCTTGCATCTTCAAATACTTGGTAGATCATAGTTGGAGTTGCTGCTGTTCCTCAAAACTCACCTCCTATCAATCTTTAAAATCATCTTGGTTCAACAGCTAAGGAATGGGGAATGATGTGCTTATCTGGTCAAAAAATTAATAAAAATATCTAAGAAGATTATACTCAGGGTTCAAGAAGAGGAGACATTATTGGGGTTATTGTTGATCTTAATACTGGAAGGTTAGAGTTCACTAAGAATGGAGTCTCACTTGGGATCGCCTATGAAAATGTAAAGGGCCCTGTAAGTCCATGCATAAGTCTATTGAAGGGCTAGAAGATAACACTCCTAAGCACAAATGGTAAATTTTTTTGATCATGTAATAGATGTCGTCTAGGAAATAGCAAAACTAGTTCCATAATGAACAATGGCGGAACAACTAATGCAGGCTCGTCAAATGGATCAAACTATAATAATAATGTTAGTAACAATGGGAGTAATTTAAGCAGCTATCAAGGAAGATTATCTATTTGACAAAATCATTTATTAATTTCATAACTCTATCAAAATTACTATCGTGGGGTTTTGGGGTTTTGGGG